CTCACTCCCCTCTTCAAACCTGATATATCTGCCATTCTTTCAGCATATCATCTCTCTATTTACACATGCAATCAGGGGCTGGAGAGGGAGGGGGAAAGGCACGTTTCAAGCCCAGCTCAGGAAGTCGCATCGTGGGTCAACCTTGAGAGCACAAATACCCCCATTGCAAAGAAAATGAGTGGTGAAGCTGATGGCGGGTGCTGGGCTTTGATTTTCACATCCTGCTGTTGTTGGCATTTGGAAATAACAGTATAAATAGAAATACACCTTTTTCTATCTATATTTATATAGATTTCTGTTGGGGTTTGTGTGTGTGTGGATACATACAAAACGCCATAAGCACTGTGGTGGCAACCAACCACTTGCTGCCACAAACCCAAGGTCAGATCCTGCCTTGGGATGGCAAATTTTGGCAAACCCAAGGCAGGACCCCAAAAACCTTTGGCCTGCCTGAATCCTCATCTCTCTTCCATTCTGCAATAAAAGAAAACCAACTCTATTGAAACAACCTCTGAAAATTCATGGTGTCCATGACTTTAAACTAGCCATGGGATGAACACACGGATTCCAAGCTCCCAGGTAGGAAATGCTGAGTGAGAGATGATGCATTTCTAGTAAAACCTGCTCTTAAAAAGCCATGAAATGGAGAAAATTTGGGCATATACAACTGCAAAACCCCATTGCCGGAGCAGCCTCTCCCACTGCATTCCCAGTTCTGAGACCAACCCATCCCAGCTCTCCCCAGCCCTCTAATTGAGCAATAGAAACATTGATTTTTGCAGTCTAGTTGCTAAATCACCCCCAAAGCAAAGGCAAGCCATGTCCATCAGACAGCCTGCAGTTCTTCAAGCCTTGCAGGCGTTAATGGTGATGGAAGAAACTTGATTTCCAAAGAGCAACTCTTCACCCACCTATTAAATCCAAGTGTTTGCAACATCGATTCCATACACCAGCAGCCAAAATCCCCAGGCTTCTAATAAACCTGAGCTGAGAATTGCAAGCAAGCAGTGGCTTTATTGAACTGATTTAGCTTGTGTTATTACAGATGTCACTAATGACATGATAATCTGGCTTGTGCCGGGTAAGGGTCAGGTTATGTGTGACAGTGACAGTTGACTGGAGACAATAAGATTGATAAGGAAAAGATTAAAACCTTGCAGGGGATATGGGAATAATACATCAAGTAGTAAATCTGGGAGCTTTCCTGACTGTCTTGTCCAAGAGAAATGTCGGCAGCTTTGTCTCCAGGGGGCTAAGGAACGTAAAAATCCATCTCTGAGCAGTAAAAGACTGAGATGAATGAAGATTTAACAAGCACGTGTGCACCTCCACCCACAGCATTTCAGGTGGGAAAGGAGTAGGTTATTAATCTCAAGTGCTACCTGATGGATTTTCATAGGGCATTGAAGTATTTGCTCCTAAGGAGAGAGGAATTTCATGTCTGCTCTCCACATTAATAGGACATATTTTTAGATGAAGAGAGAAGTCATTTTTCAAAGCCATTTGAAGTTTGGGGTGGTTTTGTGCTCATCATTAGCTTGGGTTCCCTGCAAAAGCATTTCAGCAGCTGCAGTGCATCTGCAGCGCATCTGCAGCTCCTAAGAGCTCAAAGGGGTTCATGCACTGATTTTTCTTCAGCATCAGTATCTGTGTTTCTATGCTGCTTCATGATGCAATCTCCAGGGTCTGTTCTGGGACTGCTTTTGGGGCTCACAGAATCAACTAGGTTGATTCTAGAGGCAGAGCTCCCTCCTCTGTGGTCCAGATGCCCCCTCCAGGTGAACAGATTGCGAACCCCATTAATCAATAATGGCTTTTCAAGAGTTTTCCCAGTAAAAACCAGCAGAAAACTGGTGTGAAGCAAGCACAGATGAAAGCAAGCCTCAGTCTCCCACACCTCGAGAGGCTGCTGCATGAGAGAGGTCATCACACAGTAAAACCCCCAATGAATTCCTGGCACTGGCACCCATTTTGGGGTGATGGATGGAAATGCTAATGTATTTCATGTACAATTCCAACGTAATACGGTGGGGAAACCCAGGCTTAACCACATAGTCTTGCCAATATGACCTGAGTAGGTAAGAGCTCAAGAAAGAATCAAGTAATTCAGCACCATAAAACCATGCCATGGTCTTTCCAACACATCTCAGTCTCACCAGGGAGCTGCTTTAAGGTACAAGGATAAAGCATTTTTGCTGGGATAAGCTGCATCTCCACCAGGAAAACACTAATCCAAGGTTGCTCCTGTAAAGATCTGCACTCCCTTTGAGTGGGCAAGGTCTGGGCTCATATTGATGCTCTTTAAGTACCTTTCTTTGGTCTGCTATGAGCTTGCAATGCTATTTTCTACGAGAAGAGGCAACGTCACAAGTTTTGCCTCTATGGAGACTACAAACATCTCCTTTATTTGGGAGATATGTGCACAAAGAACACCCTTATTTATCTCATCATCAAGAGCATTTCTGAAATGCTTCACTGCTGTCACGCTCTTCTCCTCGTGCTGATGCCCATCAAGCTGAATACATCCATAGGGGAAAGAGCGGTGCAGCTCCAAGACTGGGAATTAGACTGGATCCATCGTCAGAAATGGGTTTCAGTGCAGTGGATCCAAGTTTTAGCAGTGCACTTGGCAGTTCTGTGTTAATGCTTGGACTCAATGATCTTAAAGGCTCGTTCCAACCTACACGATTCTATGATTCTATTAAATATCACTTCCTGTACCTGCCCCTGGATAATAGGCATTAACATAGTATTGGACTAACTGTGCTGCTCTGCAGCCAACTAAAGGCAGCTGAGGAGCCTTGAGCAACCCCAAAACCCCACCACCCAGGAATACAACACGTTTTGATGCAAGACAAACATCACCTCTCATATCCTCGTCAAAAGGAATGCAAGCGTTACTGTGCGCGACGACTTGCCCGGGTATTGCTGTATTTATTCCACATGGCAGGCATGAAGCTGCTTATATCCACAGGGAGAAAAAGGAAACCCAAATGGGCAGGATTATTTCTTTTTCTCAGCTGTGTCCATCGATTCAGCTGACAACCTGTGAAATACAGTTAAGGAGCTTGAGTTTCTGTCGCCCTGCATCGCTCCAAGGAGGAGATTTCCTATCCTTTGATGTATCAGTTTTCCACTTCCAAATTGAGCCTGGGTTGTGGAAATAGAGGATTAACCACTATTCATGAGTATTAGCACAGGAAGAAAAAATATTATTGGGAATTTGAATTACTTATCCTGCTTTGGAATAAGCCTGGGGAGAATGAACACAATGTGGTATCGCTTTAAAAGCAGATGAATGAAAAAGAAGATGAAGTGCTCTCCGCAAGCAACATAACTTCAGCTTTGGCAGAAAGCTGTTTTCTAGGCTTAGATCATAAAGAAATACAGAGCTTTCCCAGTTGTTCTGATGCACAGGAAAGAGAATGCTGTATATTAGAGGCATAACTGAGTCCTGGCAGATTCCTACTGTTACCATAGAGCATCCAAACAGGAAGAAGAGTCAGTTGATAGGGGATTAATAACAAGTTAACCATTAAGCAAGCAAGCTACCAGGGCTGTCTGAACACCACAAGTATCACTTGGGACATGGTGTCCTTCACCACTCACTTGGAGACTCCTCCAAACACCCAGGGCAGGGGGGATAGCTCCCAAACAGAGCAGAGGGCATCTGCAATGGAGATCCAATAGGAAAAAAATCAGTTTCTAAGAGCAATCTTGCAAGCCAGTACAAGAGGGTTTGATTTTAATAAACCAATCGACACGAAGAAGTGGGAGATGAAGGTGCTACACAAGCCATTAGCAATGCCAGGCACACGTGTGCCAGCAGGAAGGCTCCATGGACCAGTATATATTACTCATCCAAAAGCAACTTCTTCACCAAGGGAGCATTGGAAACAACCAAGTTGCCCACAGAGCTGTCATGGAGCTGATCAGTGGATGCTGGCCCTGGTGAGGGTAATGGAAGAGCTTTGCCCTCATCTAAATAGAGGGAATTCAGCTATAAAAGGAGTGTGAGCAGCAGCTCAGGGAGGGGATCCTGCCCCTCTGCTGTGCTCTGGGGAGACCCCCCTGCAGCCCTGATCCAGCTCTGGGGCAGCAGCACCAGAGGGACGTGGAGCTGTTGGAGCGAGGCCAGAGGAGGCCATGGAGATGCTGCGAGGGCTGGAGCAGCTCTGCTCTGGAGCCAGGCTGAGAGAGCTGGGCTGGGGCAGCCTGGAGAAGAGAAGGCTCCTGAAGGGGAGACCTGAGAGCAGCTCCAGTGCCTGAAGGGGCTGTAGGAAAGCTGGAGAGGGGCTTGGGACAAGGGCCTGTAGGGACAGGCCAGGGGGAATGGCTTTAACCTGCCAGAGGGGAGACTGAGATGAGCTCTTAGGCAGAAGCTCTTCCCTGTGAGGATGCTGAGGCACTGGCACAGGGTGCCCAGAGAAGCTGTGGCTGCCCCATCCCTGGCAGTGCCCAAGGCCAGGTTGGACACAGGGGCTTGGAGCAAGCTGCTCCAGTGGAAGGGGTCCCTGCCCGTGGCAGGGGTTGGAACTGGGTGAGATTTAATGTCCCTTCCAACACAAACCAGTCTGGGATTCCATGATTAAACACTCCTTGGTCAAGCAGAGATGTTGCTCCTGAGCAAGGGCAGGCGATGATGACCAGTGGTTGGATGCTCAACACACCGACAAAATCCCTGATTTAGCAGGTTAGGAGTGAACAGCTTTGCCCTAGTGTCCCGGATCACTTCCCATTTGGACTTCAGCGGTAACATTTGCCTCTGCCGCATCCTCCCTTGCACAGGAAAACAAAGCTATTTACTATTGCCATTATCACAGCTAAAATAAACTTCATGCTGGAGACTTGGCTCCACCACAGAGGAGATCTCAGCCCCAGAAATAACTCGCTTGTTACCCCAGGAGGAAGGCAGCAGCACTTCCAGCAGAGGTTGGGAGGCATTCAGCCATGGGTAACAGGAACACGAGGCTTCACTGCGCGTGTGGCAATGGCCTTACCGTCTTGAGCAGCGTTCGGTTGTCCCTGAGGCTCCCCACCATGCCAACGAAGGAGACCCCAAACATGGTGAAGCCCAGCAGCAGGAGGATGATGGCTGGAGCCAGGAAGATCCCTTCCAAGGTCTTGTGCTTTTGCCTCTCCACTTCGGCGTAAATCCCAACACACAGGATCGTGAGGCCGAGGATCTGCAAGGGAAGCACGGGATGCAATTCGGACTCCAGCGAGGACAAATAGAGGCTCCAAGGGAGACACAGAGGTGGAAGTTGCTCCAGACAGCCAAGGAAAACCCACTTAGCTCCGGGACATTTAGCATCCAATCCCAGATGGTGCTGTCAGCACTCGGAGCATCCCCTTTGGTCAGGGCTGGGCTGCTCCTCCTCTGGCTGAGAAGGGGATGTATAATCTCAGTGTGATCAACACGGTTTTAAGCTTTAAGCCAGGTTTTGCTTGCTTTTTCCTCTCCCCTCTCTGCTTGCACCTTTATGGTCTGTCTGAATGCTCCACTTGGCCCTTTGATGGCCCAGCACTGATTGACACCAACACTCCACCCTCCCAGACTCCACCCTTAGACAGAACCATCCCCAGAAGGACTCATTTCACTCCTGGCTTGAGCACTGAATTGCACCCAAAGCCACTCACCCTCTCTTCACACGCCAGCACCAACAATTAGACATGAAGCTCGCGGCACAGTTAAGAAGCGCTTTTGATCCCTGGATGAAAAGTGCCATAAAGAAAAACAACGGATTATTTAGGACACCGTTCCTCCCCTCTCTCCCTCTTCGATGAAACAGCTCTGATTGAAAAAGGGCCTAATGATGCAGGGATAAAACAGGCTCCAAAAAGAGCTGTTTGCAACCCTTCAGCTCCTTCCACATCAAAGCCAGTGCCGTTGCCCCAAACGCTTCGTGCTGTCAGGAGCTGCTCCCATTGAAGCGCTTCGAGGCGAGCTGCTCCTCAGCCAGCACTGAGCTGACACCTGAAAAGGTCAGCAAGGAAATGGAGAAGGATCCAGAGCCATTTTCCTGCTGCTTTTTGCACCATCCCCATCCCAAATCACCTCCTGGCAGAAAGCCCCCAGCCACAGACCCCTGAGATCAAAAACTGCACCTCCAGAGAGAACAAAACACCTCTTTTCACTCCTTTCCCTATTCACCTTTCCAAGAAGCTTCACTGTTCCTAATGAGCTCACTCACACTCTTCCTACTAATTCATGCCAACAACCCAATCCTTTATTTTCATGCACAGCCTTTGCTCTATTGAGGGGTTGATATTTTTCTTCTCTAATCCACCTGGACACCAGTTCTGGTGTGTTTGTGTAGCTAGTTTGTGTCTATCAATCACTGTCAGCTTCCAGGCTCCATCTCATCTATAATGGCACTGAAATCTCCCAGAAAACAAAAAGTAGACTTGTGGTATTTTACAGCCGCTTTAGTTATTTGAAGGCTTATTTCTGATCACAGGCTTTTAATCACAGCTTCATCTTTAGACTCTATTTTAAGCATCAGGTTGGTGCGTTGGGATTAGGGTTGATTTAATGTTTATCCCTTATACAGTGTCCCGGGAAATATATTTGGCTTGGAAGGCAGGGGGTAGACATTAAGGCACACCATGGCTATCCTGCTAATCCCACATGCCAATCAGAACCACTTTCCCTGTTTTAATTAATCCATCTGTGATGAGGGTAAGGGAAGAGATCATGGCAAGTGCACAGAGCAAACCCAGAGGGGGTACCAGGGCTGGATGCTCTGGGGCTGAGGAAGCAGCATTCATGGGATGGACTTCACTGGTTGAAGGGAAAGAAACTGAGGAAGGTTTTAAGGGTGGATAAAGGTTGCTTAAAAATAGGTTTTCCAGGGTAGAAAGTACCTTTAAAAAGCTTAAAGCACATGGCATGCATGAAGCTGCTGCAGAGTGGTGCTGGTTCTTCCTCCCAACATCGCCATGGCCATCCCCTTTGGCAGGGTAAACCCCAACCCGTGCTATGCTTAACACCCCTCTTTTTTGGAGGAGGGCACGCACTGCTTATTTACCTTGCAAATGCAATGGGGAAATGCACCCTATGAGGGTGCTGAGGCGCTGGCACAGGGTGCCCAGAGAAGCTGTGGCTGCCCCATCCCTGGCAGTGCTCAAGGCCAGGTTGGACACAGGGGCTTGGAGCAAGCTGCTCCAGTGGAAGGGGTCCCTGCCCGTGGCAGGGGTTGGAACTGGATGAGCTTTAAGGTCTCTTCAACCCAAACCATTCCATGATTCTATGAATATCTTGGCTCTCTCTTTGCTTAGCTTCTAGCTCAAAAGGTCACCCATCCCCTTTGCTAAGGATTAGTGCTGCAGGCTGGACCCCAGCCCATCTCCAAGCCCCGCTTGCTAAAAAGCATCCTCCAATTAAAATAAAACCCAACAGTTGCTCCTACTCAAAGCACAAGAAAGCATCTTGCAAAGCAACACCCATCAAGAGGAAGGGAATGGATACCCTGGCACATCTCCCAGCAAAGGCAGATTGCAAAGGAAGGCTCGCTGCAATATAACAAGGTTTGGAAGAGCGAGCAAGGAGCGATGCTGTTACAAGATAAGTGGCAGAGGGATTTGGATGGAAAATAGCTGGGGAGAAAGGGCAACATTCCCCGAAAAGCAATATTGCTGTGGAAAAAATGATGGATCTGGAGCAAAGCAGCGATGTCAAAGCCTGTAAAAAACTGCAAGGGGAATAATGATGTATTCCACCAAAACCTGCTCAGCCCATCACCCCTTGGCCGGAGATGAGCATCAGAAGCAGCAGGAGAAGTCTGCATCACCCCTTGCGTAGCCTGGCTGCCCTGGTTTCCATCACTGGGGTTCTCTGGGGGTTGGTTTTGCTGTGCAAATTCAATCAGCGCGGATATTCCTGATTCCTGGCATCACAACCCTTTCCTACCACCCACACTCGATGACATGGGAAGGCACATAATGAAGTTTGCTGGTAAATCCTCTCTAGTTACATATTAATTGCCTGGTGATCACCTCAATAAAGTGCAAACACCAGGATAGGCAGCAGCAATTACAACTGCTCTGTAATGCAGCTCAGGGAACAAGCAAACCTCCACCTACCCTCCAACAAGGGGCTGATCACCCACCCCATTTCTATCTCATAACAACCACACCATCCCCACAGGCAAAGCCAAGGGGGTGGCTGCAGCTCTATCAGCCCTCATGATAAAGGCATCCTGCATCAATTCTCCTCTTTTAAGCTGGGAAGAAATCACCTTTGGTTTTAATTTCAGCCCTGCTTGATGTTATTGCTGCTTGGAGCTTGTAGGAGCTGAGCGGGCAAGGGATGGAGGACAGCAAGGCTTTTTGTGCAACTCCAACTTAGTGGGATAGCGGAGATGCCGCTTTTCCTCTCCATGTATTTCTTCATCTAATGGCAAGGAAAGAGATGGGGTGGCAAGTTAGGGATGTGGGAAAGAGAAGAGTTAAAGGTGGAAACCCCTGTCCCACTGATTGTAGAGTCATTTAGAGATCTGGAGGTCAAGAAGAGGGGATGAAAGACAATTAATGAATAGGAAATAACAGAATACACAGCTCAGGGTTGCTGATAGGGTTGGGGGGGTTCCAAATGGGTGGCTTGAGCTTTAAAAGAGCTTTGCAAACTCCCAGCTTCAAGCCATGGGCTTGTGCTTGTGATTGCTTCTGATCCTTGCATTGACTTGACTTTGACGCAGAGGCAGCTCCCCACACTCACAAGAGAGCTGCATAGCCCTCCCAGTGCTAACAAACGACATGCACAGTCCTACCCTGACTTAAAACCCCACTGCTCACCTAAGAGATACCACATTCCCCTTCTCTGAGGTGCAAAAACACTCAAGTAACAGGAGTTACTCTGTGCCAACAAGTACCATGAACCCAAGGGGACGTTAACACAACTTTAAATGGTGTTCAGTGGATGAGCCAAGGCCATACCAACACCAGGCAGATTTCTCCTTACTTGGGAACACCAAAGAGTCACGATGACAGTGGCTTCAAACCCACACAGACCCCATCAGCCAGATGATGCTGAGTCAGAGCTCAGCGGTCCAGGGAGGAGCACGGGGAATGGGGCATTGCTTTATCCTCCATCCAAGATGACCAGAGGAGCCAAACCAAGGGGAAAACTCTGGTTTTCCAGATCCTAGCTCACAGGAGAATCCTTCTTCCCAGATTTTGAAGACCAAATGGGCAGACAGGGCTCTCCTGCTCCTCCTCAGGAGGTTTGATTGTAACGTACAGGTGAGAAGTCACGATACAGGGAAGCGCTGAATGCTTTTAGTCATTGATAGAATCATGGGATTAATAATACAGCGATTAAGTACATCATAGAATGCTTAACTGCTGATGGCATGTAGGAATGTGAAAAATATGGTTTTATAAGGGTCAATTAAACCAGCAGCTCTCAATTTTATCGGAGAAGTAAGACAAGGAAAGAAGCAGCTCTTTAAATCTGTGCTCCACTGAATCCTTGACAGTGAGGATTAAATCTACCTGTATAAAACCAGCTGCTCCAACCTATGATGCTCAGACATCTCTGCCCTTTGCTCCGTGTTTGGTTTAAAGCCACTCTCCGGCTTATCCCACCTCTAAATCAATGCTTTCTTCACAGGAAAGCACTGGAAAAGATCTAGCAGCACTAAATCCAGTTTTCTGCAGGCTGGGACAACACTAAGCTATAAACCAGTGATGCATCTCACCCCAAACCTCCTCAGTCCTTCCTGGCGATCCAACTCAAGTCTTGTTCCACTGAATCTTTACTTGGGAAGGGTTAAAAGCCTTCATGCAATACAAGCGAGAAGCCCCCACGCCATCATTTCCTGTCGAATGCATTTGGTCAGAGGGAAGCGCAGCCCTGGTCACATCTGGTTTACAGGGCTCTGAAGGGTTAAATTAATACATCAACATGAGCAGATGAGGCCAGAAGTAGGTCATGCGGATGAAAAGCTCACAGGAGCTGAGCAATCACAGAATCCCCGCCTGGTTTGTGTTGGAAGGGACCTTAAACCTCATCAAGCTCCAACCCCTGCCACGGGCAGGGACCCCTTCCACTGGAGCAGCTTGCTCCAAGCCCCTGTGTCCAACCTGGCCTTGAGCACTGCCAGGGATGGGGCAGCCACAGCTTCTCTGGGCACCCTGTGCCAGCGCCTCAGCACCCTCACAGGTGCCTTATCTCCAGCCTGAAGTTCCCCTGTATCCATATGGATTCAAGGTGACAGTGTCCCCATGCAAGGACCATCCCAGGCTGGATCAGAGTGATTCAGAATGGGGTTTTTGCAGCTATTGCCCAGACGCTGGGGAATTGAGTCTCTTCTTGCTGGTGGACTCTCCAGAATGTCCCACTGAGGCCCCCAAAACATCCAGGCAATTAATAAGCCTCTGGCATCAAGATTGTCTCATCGATCATCTACATTTGCAAGGTGCAGCCCTGAGCTGGGTTCAGATGGAAAGGGAAAAGACGACCTTCCATTGACTCCCCATCCTTTAAAGGCATCTGGGGAAACCTCAACCTGAGCAAAACTCAGCTCTTTAGAGAATCCAACCCCACACTCATAGGATTCATCTTGTAAGAACAAATATTGTACTGTCTTCAGCCCAAAACTCAAACCACAGCCACAAGTGGGTTAAAGAATCTGGGTGGTTTTAGTGTCACTGGATGCAGCAGGAGGCACACGAGGGTCCTGGCCACGCAGTGGGAGATGCTTGAATCTCATCTCCCATTGGAAACCTTCCTACCCAGCAGGTATGAAGAAATCAGTGAGATATTCTACAAAGAACACCTAATTCTTATTCCTTATTCTTTATTCTTATTTCTTATTCTTTATTCCTTACTCTCCTTCATGCCCTGCAATGGGCACAAGTCATTTGGTGCAGGAACACAATGGCTTCACCATCTCCAGCCAACAAGAGCCAGCACTGCCCTCCCAACTGAGCTCATTCATTAAAAAGAAACTAATTAATAAGGAAATAAGAAACCTTTTCCAAGTGCTTCTGACCCTGGTTAACACTCACAGCCTGCCTGGGAAGTCACGTAGGTATTTCTGCAGTGACACCTGTACACTGAGGTGCACATTCCACTCTACACACCCAGCAGGCAGCCATGCAGGGGCAAAGAGGATTATTTAAACCTCAGCATGAAATATCAGTAAATATGGGCTGGGTTATGCAAGATGAACTCCATCTCCCCTGCATTCACTGAGGATGCACATGGGGTATTTATTGCGCTCCTCTCCTCTTTCTGACATGTGCTAGCGCCTCCCAGTTGCCAGAGAAGCTTGGCCCCAAATGGAGCTCAATGGCTCAATACTGCTTAAAAACAAGCCTTAGTCTGACCTCTTAATATCACCAACCTGGCCAAAACAACCCCCGCTCCATGACTACATCCATGCCCTGTCCCTGTTGAACGAGGCAAAGGCTGAGAGGGGCAGGGGGGATCCAGCTGGCATCACCACCCAACGGGTTCTTGCGTGATAAAACCACGAAATCTCCTTGTTTCTGCTCCAAATGCAACTCGCTGCCACAAGGGATTTGTAAGAGAGCTCCTAGGGAAGGGCAGTCCCAAGGAGGTGATCTTAAATGCACCAAACCCCTTTGTTTCACCCCAAATTCCCATTCCGGACCCAGCTAGCGCCAAGCACGAGCGGCTTCACAGCACCGGGTTTTACCCCAAGGATCTGGCTCCTTGAAAGGGGAAACGTGGATGCTGAAAAGTAAAATCCCAGCTACACGGTGGGAGGGGAAACAGCAGGAAGGACACAAAAGCAGCCGGAGCACCTACCGAGAAGAGGGTGGCATAGGTGGACAGGGCGAATTTGATGCTGTAGTAACAGAGGTGGGAATCCCGGCACTCGGCGGCTGGAGCCATCCCTGCGGCTCACAGCTGGAGGGCTTCGGCTCGCTGCCCGCCGGCCCCTGCCCGCTCCAGGCAGCTCGTACTCATGCACACAGCAAGCCTTGAACTTGGGCTGCTGCTCCAACTTCCGCCTGGCAGGAGCAGAGAGCAGCCGGGGGGAAGGCAGCAGCGGCGGTACGAGCGGCCGCGTTAACCCTTTGCTGAGGTTGCTGCTTGGGTCTGCTGCCGAGAGCACAGCAAAGCTCTGTGGAATCACAGAATCACAGCTGGAAGGGAGCTGAAAGCTCGTCCAGTTCCAACCCCTCGCCACGGGCAGGGACCCCTTCCATTGGAGCAGGCTGAAGCAGCTTTACTCCGATAACTACTCCAACTATTGGTGTATAATCTGATTCTCTAGCAAGTTTTTAACAGCGAATGTATTGCAATCGGGGCTGAAAGAGCCCGCTGCAATCATGCAGCAGCAAAGGGGGAAGTGGCAGCCCAAAATCCAGCCAGAACAGGGACAGATGCCCCCCAGGCAGTCGCTCAGAGGCCAGCAATGTCCAGATGTACCTGTTGTATCTTGCTACTGTACGTAACACCTCCCTTTCACGCCACCTTGAGCTGCCCAGCCCTTGTATGAGTAGGAAGAAGGAAAGAGAAACGATTACACACAGGCTTGGTGTGGTTTAATGTTTGGAAGACAAGGTGTGGGGAGCAAGAAACAAGCACCAGGAGACCTCATGGCTCTACAACCATAGCACTAGGGAGTGTAGAACTGATGTTTAACTAAGAGCAAAAAGAGAAGGCTGGAAAAGCTGCTTCTGCAGGTGGTCTCTGAGGATGCAAAGGAGCACTCCTTGTATCTGCAGCTTGACTCATTGTGGGTCAGAGATGGGAAGAAGAATCTGTAATCATCTGTAATGCAGCTCATGGCCTGGGAAGCGGTTCAAACCCTCCTGGGAGGAAGATGCTGCTTCTCTCTGGGGAAACCAAATGGAGAATTTAAAGCAGGGTTTGAAGAAATAACAGTGACTCAGGGCTGCACCAAAGATGCAGGAGCTGTGTTGAACCCAGCTTATAGCAGAAACGGCAGAAAAGTATATAGGATGCATGGGTAACAGCAGACATCTCATATCAGTCTCCCCTCTGGCAGGTTAAAGCCATTCCCCTTGGCCTGTCCCTCCATCCCTTGTCCCAAGCCCCTCTCCAGGTTTCCTGCAGCCCCTTCAGGCACTGGAGCTGCTCTCAGGTCTCCCCTTCAGGAGCCTTCTCTTCTCCAGGCTGCCCCAGCCCAGCTCTCTCAGCCTGGCTCCAGAGCAGAGCTGCTCCAGCCCTCGCAGCATCTCCATGGCCTCCTCTGGACCCACTCCCACAGCTCCAGAGTTTTACCAACCTTTGCTTGGCATAAGAACCCCCAACAGCCAGCACTGAACAACAGACGTGTGGGGAGATGTGATTTCACTCCTCCACCCTTCCTGTGCTATGGAAGGATGCCTCAGCCAGGAGAACACTCAATTAAAAGAACTATACCCACTTGCCCCTGTGATTGCCTGCAGTTCTAACCCCTGGCAGGTTTGACACTGCCTGGCACAGGGGACTTCAGGGCTTGCTTTCAGCTCGTTGCACAGAGAAATCACAGCACTTGGTGAGTAACCTGCTGTGCGTTCACCTATTGATAGGATGTTTGCTGCACTCGAATTCAGAGCTCAACTTACTGTGCAAAAGAACAAGGGAAAAAGACTATTCCCCTCACAACCAGGCAGTGAAATAGCTGAGAGACGTCCAAAGCAGCAGATTTAAACCACACTTAAAACCATCAGGTCCATAAATGATGCCTACAATTTCCATGTTAATTTGAAGCCATATTTCACCATTCAGCTCACTGGAGGTTTGAACAGCAATTTCAGGCTCTCTGCCCTTCTCCACTGAGTCACAGGCAAACCCCAGCCCTCTGGCAGTGTAAATCAGGGCAGAACACTGCGAGCGCATCGCATCCCCGGCTCTTCCCCAGCACCATTTCCCCATCAGCTCGTAATTAACACCCGGTATTCCGCATGTGGTTAATTACGCCACACAACTCACTCCTATAAATAGCTGTGCCTGCAGGGATGGGAACAGGAATAAAACCCTCCAGGTACCTCTGTACAACACCATCAGTACACTCCTAAAGGAAAGGTGCCTTGCCAAAGTGCTGTCAGTCGGAACTCGGGCTGGGAGCATCGCGGGTGTGCAGCAGTCCCACACGTGAATCAGGGATGTCTTATTCGCCTTAAAAACTCATGGAATCCCGGAATGGTTTGGGTTGGAAGGGACCTCAAAGCTCACCCAGTTCCAACCCCTGCCACGGGCAGGGACCCCTTCCACTGGAGCAGCTTGCTCCAAGCCCCTGTGTCCAACCTGGCCTTGAGCACTGCCAGGGATGGGGCAGCCACAGCTTCTCTGGGCACCCTGTGCCAGCGCCTCAGCACCCTCACAGGGGAGAACTTCTTCCCTGGGGGAGCTTAAATGCCTTCATTCAAACCAAAGCACATGGGCAAAAGCAGTGGCAAGTCCTTCTCCAGCTCCCACCCTCACATGCACCAGCAGGAATTCAGCATCTTCCCTTCACCAGGCACCCAGAAATCTTCACATGAACTGGTTTGCACCGAGTAAGTAATGTTTTATACCTTGCAAAGGAGATCATGAAGAACGACTGCTCTTCCTGCAGCACGAATGCATATGGACACTTTCTGCTTCCCTCTCTAGAGATGCACTTGCAGTTAAATAGACAGGACCTGAAAGCATCCATTTACTCATACTAATGTATAATGGCTGGACAATGCACAACCCAGCTGGACACAAGGGAGAGGCAGGAGTAGCTCTTAAAGCTTAACACAGAGTGGAATAAATCCTGCATTTAAACAGGACTGTGAAGCTTTGCTCGATTTACTATTGCTGCAGCACGATGCTGTCAGGGTTTAAAGGGTGATGGGAACAGGATGGGTTTGTTCCTGAATATGTTCCCCTCTCTGGCAATGCTGCAGGAGCTGGGGAAGGTCAGAGGGTGACTTTGCACATGGGGAAGGAATAAACCCTTATTTAAGGGTTTTAATCATTAACATGACATCGTTTCTGGCAGCATCAGGCCCAGGCAATCATTAACCACTGGAAGAAATGACTCAGCTGGTGTTTAGTGCTCAGGACCAGCAGTGACTGCTCAAACCATCACCCAGCAGCCAAACTTTGGGGGGTTGAGGCCATTTGAGGAGGTGATGCTGCTGCTGGAGGGAGGTTTTCCATTGCAGGATGCACAGAGGATTCCCTTCCCACCCCCACAAACCACCCCAGGCTTTAAAGGCAGAAAGTTTCCTATAACAAGCCACTAAAACCAAACCCTGAGGCTGCAGGAGAACACTCTAAACCCTCCGAGGGACCAAGCTGTGCTGTTAATGTGCCCATGGCGGTGCTTCAGTCTGCTCTGCATGCAGCCAGCATACCAAGTGCCTGCTATAAAGATGCTGTTTCTTCCCCCCAAGCAGGGCTCCCAGCATATTAATTACAGATCACTGGCACAGAGAGCCCAGCAAGGCCAGGAACCCGACTGCCACTCAACTGAGCCAGCTTTAGCGTTGCACATGAAACTGTGGCACAAGGATGGAGAGGACCTGAAGAGAAGGCTCCTTAAGGGGAGACCTCAGAGCAGCTCCAGTGCCTGAAGGGCTTTAAGGTCCCTTCAACCAAAACCAGGCTGGGATTCTGTGTATCTACACCTTAGCCAAACACTTCCTACACCCGATGCTCGAGCCACACGCAGGAGTTGTTTCTCTTTATTGGGCCATGACTAAACCAAGCTGCCAGCTTCCTAATGAAACCCTACACACTGCAGAGTCCAAGCTATATTTAAGCACCAGAACTCACAATCCACACTTCCCTCAGTGTCACTACCCCCTCCTGCAGCAGCTGAAAGCACCAACCTGTTTAATAACCACCAGCAAATGAAAAGACCTTCCGTGGTACAATTGCATTACTCGAATGACAGCTTGGCCTCTATTTTCCTTTCCTGGGCAGGCAGTGATTAAAGTGGGGGCTCTTTCATGCTGCTGCAAAGCACAGCACAGCTGGTTTGCTACTACTGCGAGTGTGGCAGCTATAAAGAACAAAGTGAGCAGCAGGGGTGGGAGGAGAAATGGCTCCGAGGAGTTAAGATAATAAGCAAGCGATGCTGGAAGATGATGAGCAGGAATAAACCCAAAGCATCGGTGTGCAATTTGCTGATTTGTAAAACACTGATTACATGAGGAGGATGGGGAGAGGGCCTTGGAGGTGCCAGGATCAGCAGCACGCTGCAGCCACCATGCCCATGCTGGTGGGAAAAGGGATGCAGGGATGAGGACTACGCTTGCTCCTGTGGTTCAGTCACACTGGAGCATCTCTCTGGGTCAGCAGCAGTCTGCAGAGCATCACTTCTAATAGCATGGGACAGAGCAGTCCTCCACAGATCTGCTTTGTTATATCCTTTGGGAAGTTTATTATCCCCTTGGGAAGTGACTGATCCTCTGCAGCTCGGAACCCTGCAATTTCATTAGAGAAGGTAGGACAGCATTGCCTTCTGCTGGGGATTAAGTTCACGTGTTCCCCAAGTTTCTGCTGCCTTCCAGAAGTCCCCATTCACTGGGGTCACTTCTTTTTTCCCTTCCATTCCCCCAGTTTCAACTACCTTGATGTCCATCCTGGCCCATTCCTTTGCTGAGCCTCAGTGCTGGAGCTGAAGGATGCAAATGCATAGAGCTCAGCTGGGTTAAAAATGGACACGGTGGGACGTCTGACACAACTTCAGCAAAATATCACTCATAATTTGGGCTAGCACACACCAAAGTGTACAGAGACTGCTGGGCTTATAGCCCCAAGACATCAGGTTTTGCCAGCATAGAAGTTAATAGCACAACAAAGATGAAATTGTAGCTCATCGGTGGCAGCTTTGACTTTTCCTGGCTTTTTTGTTTCTAAAAAGACGATTTATTAGTTCATAAAAGTCAGAAAACCAAGGATTTGATTCCTTTTTCTGTATACCCCGCAGCGCTGGGTAAAACCCACTTGGGAAACCACAGCCCCAAAGCCCCTTTCCAAAACACTGAATCACTGCATTTCCCTCCATTAA